CTTTCTTCCCGAATCTCATAACACCCTTCCATGGAGATACTTTTAACATCACAAAGTCTCCTACATTGAATTCAATCGGCTTTCTTCGTTTATCGGTATAACTTTTCTGTCGATCTTGGGCAGTCTTAATCCTTGCACGAATTTGCTCAATCTTTTCAGAAGTTGTCTGCACAATTTCGGGACCTGTCAACTGCTTTTCACCTACCTCATTCCAACACAACGGCATTCGACATTTTCTTCCATACAAGACTTCGTAAGGTGCCGCTTGAATGCTGGAATGATAACTGTTATTGTAGGCAAACTCTATCAACGGAAAATGTTTCTCCTATGATTCCCCGAAGTCGATGACACAAGTTCTCAACATGTTTTCGAGAGTTTGGATGGTTCTTTCACTTTGCCCGTCCGTTTGTGGGTGGTAAGCCGTACTTAATCTGATCTGTGTTCCCAAGGCTTTTTGCAGGCTTTCCCAGAATTTTGAAGTGAAGCGACTGTCTTGGTCAGATATAATGGATAGTCGAACACCATGTCTAGTCACAATTTTCTTGATATAGATTTGAGTCAATTTTTCCAAAGAATATGTTTCTTTCATTGGTAGGAAATGTGCGGATTTTGTTAATCAATCCACTATTACCTAGATTGCATCATAACCTTTCGGAGTTCKGGGTAACTTCATGATAAAGTCCATTGTAATGTGATCCCATTTCCAGACTGGTATTTCCAATGATTGTAGGTTTCCATATGGTCTCTGATGTTCAATTTTTAACTTGTAGACAAGTTAAACATCACTCCACATGTCTTGCTATGTCTTTCTTGAGACCCGGCCACCAATAAAATACCTTCAAATCTTTATACATCTTGTTGGTACCTGGATGGATTGAATAACGAGACTTGTGGCTTTCATTCAGGACGGTTTCTCGTGTATTTCYGAAAACTGGTACCCATATTCGACCTTGGAAACATAAGATTTCTTCCGTATTCGGTTCTAAAATGGAAATCATCTTTCCCACTTTTTTCTACCTTCACATGTTCATCCTTAATGGCCTCTTTCTGATGGTTCAAAATTTCTTGGTGAATATCAGGAGTTAGGTTAATTCTCATTGTTACCGATTTGATAGTTCCACTTCTTCCTTTTCGGCTCAAGGCGTCGGCTACCACATTGGCTTTTCCCGGATGGTAGAGTATTTCACAGTCATAATCATTAACAAGTTCGATCCATCGACGCTGCCTCATAATTCTTTCTGGTTGAACAAGTGTTGTAGGCTCTTATGATCAGTATAAATTTGACACTTTGTTCCCAAAAGATAATGTCTCCATATTTTTAGAGCAAAAACCATACCCTCCAATTCCATGTCGTGAGTTGGATATTGCTTTTCATGATCTTTTAATTGCTGAGATGCATATGATATTACTTTTCCTCTTTGCATCAAAACACAGCCCAAACCTAACTTTGAGGCATCACTGTATACAACGAAATTTTCAGTTCCATCGGGTAAGGATAGTATCAGAGCACAGCAAAGATGGTCTTTTAATAATTTGAAAGGCTTTCTGTTGTTCTTCTTCCCACTGCCAATCCCAAGAAACTTCGAACTTAAGATGGTGTTTTTGGTGCCTCCCATTTTGCAACGGCTTCAATCTTTGCTGGATCTACTTTTACTCCAGCCTCGGATATGACATGCCCCAAATATTGGACTTCTATTAACCAAAATTCACACTTTGATAGTTTAGCTTATAACTTCTCTCTTTTCAAAAGTTCAAGGATTAATGGAAGATGCTTTGCATGCTCTTCTTTGGTTTTAGATTATATGAGAATATCATCGATAAATACAATTATCAATTTATCGAGGTATTCTCTACATACTCGATTCATTAAGTCCATGAAAGTAGCAGGTGCGTTGGTCAAACTGAATGACATAACTAGGAATTCATGGTGCTCGTACCTGGTATGGAATGTCGTTTTTGCAACATCTTCTTTAACTTTCAACTGATGGTAACTTGATCGTAAGTCAATTTTGGAGAAATAACTGGCTCCCACCAATTGATCAAACAAATCATCAATCCTGGGCAATGGATATTTGTTTTTTATGGTCAGTTTTTTTCAGCTCCCGATAATCAATACACATACGCATAGTACCATCTTTCTTTTTCACAAACAAAACTGGAGCTCCCCATGGAGAAGTACCCGGCCTGATAAATCCCATGTCCGACAAATCCTTCAATTGTGTAACCAGTTCTTTTAATTCTGATGGAACTAATATGTACGGAGCTTTCGCTACAGGTGTTGCTCCAGGAATTAAATCAATCTCAAATTCTATAACTCTATCTGGAGGTAATCCTGACAAGTCTTCTGGAAAGATTTCAGGATAATCACTGACAACCGGAATTAATTCTTGCTTACTCTTTTCYTTCTTGGCATCGATTACGTAGGCTAAAAATTCTTGGCATTTCTTTTGGATACATTTTCTGGCTTTCATAACTGATAACAGACTGGGGTGATGATTCTGATGATCAGCATAAATAACCATTGTCCCTCTGTCTGAAAATATTATTCTAATAATCTTCTTATTACAAACAATGCTAGCCTGATTCTCGGCCAACCAATCCATTCCCACTACTACATCGAAATCTTTTATAGGCATGAGAAACAATCTGATGGGTAGCTTGCAACCCTCAATCAAGATAGTGCAGCTTTTAAACACATAATTCGCAGATAATTGACCGTTAGCAGTATCAACTACTAACTTTTCGTCAAGGGGCACAGAATTCATACTGGTATATAAGGCAAATGATGGGGATACAAACGAGAACTTTGCACCCGAGTCAAATAACACTTTAGCATGTAATGAGTTCACGAGAAAAGTACTTGTAGATTCAAAGTTAATAAACATATTTTCACATTCCCAAGATATAATAAAGTATTCAAGTTCAGTTATGTACCTGTAGATTCAAAATTACATTGGCCAGATGTAATCYGAAAATACCTTACACACTGACCTCTTAACTTATCATATTTATTCCAAATGTGCTAACTATGTCTGGGACCCTAATATGCAATAAAACAGTTTAAGTCTAGGCATCATGCATGTGAATACCTAAATCTCTTAAACTCAAGCTCTGATACCAACTTTTGTAACAACCCCAAATCCATACATTGCATATAACACATATTTCATACATAGAATACATGTTTTCCCCACAAAGGTCCATAATACAA